TGACGTGGAATAGAATTTTTTTCTATATGTTTTATAATAAATTAAGATAAAATCAATATTTGATATAATTCAATAATTAAGAACAATTTTCTGAAGTTAATTCAGAAGCAAAATTCTATCAATGCAGGTTAGATGAGGGCATACAGATTCATACATAATTACTTTACCTTTTTTTATACATTTTTTATTATACATTATACATTCTTTTGATCACAATCAATTAGATTCACTTTTTAAAATAAATAACGCAAACCAAAAAGTCATGTAAAATTTATTTCATACGTTTTCAATCTACCATAAACGTAGTAACTTTCACCTCTCTCTTTTATTTTATAATCTTATTCGTATATATATAATTCAACTCAAGTTTGATAAATGGAAAGAAACAGACACTTTATAAAATTAAAAAGTCCTTATCTCAATCATAAATTGATTGAGACCAAAACATTATCATCTTAATTGTTCTAAAAGCAGTTAGTTACTTTGAAAATATGTGTCCTTATACATTAAAAATGAATAAATTATTTATTCGATGATGGTTGAAATTAAATTTTTAGTCTAGTAAGGATATTTTTAGATTTAATTTGTATACCATTTTACGATACAGTACTACCAAAATTGAACTGATATGTACGTAATATAAAACGCGGAAGATTAAATAACTTTACCTTGACCGACCTCAATAAAAAATATTTATTTAGTTATAATTTAATAAAGCTAATAAATTAATTTTTACGTATCTGATGCCTTAATGAGATGTTACATTATGGAAGCAGTAAAATATATTGTTTTCATATATTATGGTAAACCTTGGTTTTGCTTTTAAATTTTTTATATAGAGAAGTCCTAATTTTATTAAAATTTTATCAAACATTTTGTTTAAGTATTACAAATCAAATTGACTGAACGTAAATAATTTTGGTATGAGTTTTTTTAAAGCAAAATGTATTATAATTTTTAAGAAGCATTTATTTCATTGAATTAGTGCAATAATGAGGTGGATTTTTTTTTCAAATTTATAAATTATATCCAAACATATGATTGATATCAGAACGATTTAGAAGAGGTATTCGTACGCCTGTTAATATTAATTTCTGTTCATTGAATCCGATTGATTTCAATCAAATGTCGTTGCTCTTAATATTACACAATTTTTTTATCTATGTATACATTATATATACATATACAAAAATATACTCATTGTTATTATTTTCTATTAAACCTGTATATAAATCAGTTGTAAAAGATTTTTATAGTTTTCCGTCAACAAAAAATTAAGTTACAAAAAATTCCAAATAAAATTATTTTTGTTTTGTTTCTAACCAAATAACAAAGATGATATAATAGTTTTTATGACTCTGATTCATATAACAAATATTTCCTAAAAAAACATCAAACGGATTTGTTTTAAATGGATTTGGAATTAATTTTGAATAATGAAATAAATATCACAAAAATAACAATTTTGAATAAAACGCTCGTTCTATCTCTAACAAGCAAACGCAATTAAAAGCAAAATTATCATAATATAATGTCGTCATAAATGGAATTTAATGTTTTAGAAATAAAATATAATTTTAATATTAAGTATGTTATCTAGTTATTATACGTTATTTGATATCTTTGTATTATTACGCACGAGTAAATAAAACATACAAACACACTCAAAGAATATTTCCGATCTTATATTTAGTTAAAAACCTGAGCCTGTGTGAGTACTAATGAGGTCTTTTTTCCTAGAAACGAAAGTCTTTCTTTAATTGGGATCAACTGTTACAGATAGCTAAGACCAGTTTTTTCATGCCAGGTTTCTCATTTATAAACCGACTACAATAAGGAGTATTTCTCATGATACATGATTTTTTGTTTGTTTTTAAATTACTTTGAGTTACTTAGTTAATATTATTATTATTCTCGTATAGCCAATTCCGTTATATTTGTATAAAGGTTTAGTGAAGATTCTTCTTAAAATATTTAAACATCTCCTAAAAAAAGTATAATTTCTTTTATTCACGAAGATTTTTTCTGATTTTGATTCTGTTTCCATTTGAAGCATATAAATTTGTATTATTATATTTTATTATTATTGGCTTTCGTGGAGCAAAATATTGGTAACACAACATTAAATAAGTAAATTAAATAATGTTTTATAACTATAATACTATATATACATATATGCTATGGTGTAGTTATTAATAAGCCTATAACTATTAAGCACTGAGTCTTAAAATAACCATGGTTAGAACTGATTTTAGAACAGAACTATACTGGGAATCATTTAAATTATGTTATCCAGTCTGGTTTCGAACCGGTTAGGCATTTTTTGTAAAGGATTTGGGAGTTTGACATACGGTACACAAGTCTACACACGCTCTTGGAATCCTACTATTATTATTTCGACGCTAAACGTGTTTGTTATTCTGCCACACGTAAACAATACCGGATTTAATTCTTAAGTAAAACGCTTTTAATTTATCAATGAAAACATTTAAACTTATCAATATTTGACTAGAAAACAGAATGAAATGTATACATATTTATTTGATTCATATAGAGCATTGATGTGAAATGGAAATCGCGGGAAATACTATGAGTACAATAACAATATAATCCATATTTATCTTTGTGTTATTTTACTTACATAAGATACTTAGAGACTTAATTAAGATAAAATAAGGAATCTCTAAACTATGAAACGAATAGGAAGAGCATGGAACTAGTAAATTTATATCAAACATGTACATTTAATAGTTTTGTTTTCCATATCAAGCTGTGTATTTATAAGGTTATAAAGACGAACATAAGTTTATATAAAACCCTGAAAGTGATGTTTCAATACCGTGTTGATAAACCTCTATAGAGTTTTTGTTTGAATAGTTAATAAGCCAGTTTAAATAGTTTCGTGATGACCGGTTCGTGGATGGCTTCTCTATCTAATTAGATAATTTATTTAAACCTCCATTATATAAAGTCAAGGCGTCCATCAAGGTACATCAGCTAATCTTTCTAATATTATATTGTACGTATATAAAACTATATAACCTAAGCCATATCATTACTTTTGTATTGTCAACTTAGAACTTATAGTCTTCATGTTTCTCGTATTTATTTCACCTTAAAGCTGCCTCAACTTATAACTTGTATGAGGATGCAGTACCTACTTTTTAACAAATTTTATTTCAAATATTTCATTATTCAACAAATTTTATTTCAAATATTTCATTAATATATATGACATACAGATTTACAGACATATGTAAATTTTTATTTTTTATTTATTTAATCCAAATATCCGGGAGAAGTTGACCTAACGAGATGAAGCTTATATGTAATATATGTATTTATATCTTTAAATTATTATAATCCAAGTCTTTAATACATATTTATTTATAATTATAATATTAATTTTTGATTTTTATCTTTTCATAAAAATCCTTAAATATCACAATAATTTATAATATAAATTACTAATAAAAACATGATTGATATTCGTTTAAAATATTTTTAAGTAAACGGGAAAGAATAATTAATTGGTTTTGTGGATGAATAAAATTATTATATTGTGTTTCTATTTCTACATGATGGACTATTTCTACACTTATTTATCACAGTGCTTATTAAAGAAAAGTAAAGTTAATTCATCCAAACGGAATGTTTATATATATATGTATAATTTGAGATTTTATTATACTTTTTGGATCCTACATAAATAGTTACACGTAATTATGTCTAACGTATGATTCTTTTAGGTTCAAGTATTTTTCTTTAATATATGGTCACTATTTTTGCTAGTGACTTCGTCCATTAACTTCGGAATTAGGGTTAGAAAAATGTATCAAGTGCGTTAAAACAACAGATCGTCTATGTCTATACATCGTGGCTTCATAAAATATATAACCTTAATGCAGTGATCCCTTGAGAATTAATCAGTATTCCGGGCTCAATTATACATAGTATGTATTATTAAGATGATAAATATTGTGTTACAGTTAAGTTTTTATATACACAGTACAGTTTTTCTATACAGCTTATATACAGTGTTATATAGTTTTATGTACAGCTTATCCATAAACAGTTAAAACATGTTGTACAGTTTACATTAAAACCTTCAAAATATTGCGTGAATGAGACTCACATACTAATATATACAACATACTAATATATTTTTCGCTATAATATCAGTAGGCTAGTAGGCAGTTCATATAAATGTCACTAATTTGATCGTAATTTGATATTGACCTGTTGTTACGAAATAACAAATTTTTTATGTGATATCATTACGGTTCCGTGGAATGTGATTTATTCGTCTTTTTTTATAGCATCGTAAACTAAATTGAATATTAATGACATTTAAACACAAACAAGATTAATAAAACATTAGTTATTTTTTAACTGTCAGAAGTTTTGAAACTTTGTTTTAGTATCATCCCATTAAGATACCTAATGTCTTAATTGTTTAATTAATTTCAAATTAAATATATCTGAAATGTTAATGTATAAATCTTTGTCAGTAATTTTACAATGTAATGTGTCGCAATACATATTGTTCTTCTATAACGCAAGTTGAACTTTTTTATGCTTATTAAGTGAAATTAATTTTCTTTGTGGGTGCGTACACCACAAAATAATACATAAATTTTTTATGATTTGGGTTCGGCTTAATTTATATCAAAAACAAATATATATATTTTTTTAATAATTTATACAATCATGACCTCATTTAATCGATACTTAATTAGTGTTTTTTTATTATATAACATTTAACTTTTATAGCTATAGGTATTCAGAGTTAAAAGAAGTGATTACTCTCGTTGTGTAAACAAGTGTATAATATAATTCTATGTATACAATATTATCTTGAAATAACTAATAAAACATCTAAATCTTAATCAACAATAATACATTATAAATAAAATACACATTGAAAGACGATACCAGTATGGAAGTATGACAGTACAGTGTCTTGTTTAGTGTGGTTATTAAATTGTAGTAAAATTAAAATGGAGAAAGGAAATGCATCTGTCAGCAGAACGAGGGTGGTTTTATCTCAGGTATGTTATTTAACGGTAATTTTTTATTTAAAATGCAACATTTTTTTTGTTATGAAACCTTTTTAGTTACGTGTGTTACAATACACACACACGCATATATATACATATATTTTAAAAATAGTGCTGTAAGCCGTGTTTGTTTTCAATGATGCTTAATAATTACACTGATTTCTTTCAAGCACCTAGTTCTAGTAAAATGAGCCAATTTTTAGTACAAAGAGAGTACATATAAAAAGAAAAGAAATGATTTTAAATTTTATGCGGTTTCATTTAGTATATTTTAATGGTTTACCATTCTTTTTTAACTTCCTAAATCAATTATAAATTGCGTAAGTAGCCCTGATGCAAGTTAATTTAAAAAATACATGAATAAAATTTTTAATGTATTAAAATGTACTACAATTATTAAATACTGTTACAGCGACAGCCTGTTTTCCAATAACCGGTAGTGGTTATTACTTATTATTATATTAATTATTATTATTGCAGTACATACCTTGTATATTATTATTTATATTATTTGCTTATGGATATTTTCTTTGCGTTTCATATACTATTTGTGCTTAGGGATTTCTCTTTCATTCGAGATTGCACTTTATTAAAAAAATCGGGGAACATTTTTGTCAAATTAATTGTATACGCAAAACGATGAAATTATTATCAATATAATTATATTCCCAATAGTATAATCATGTCCCATGTGTTTTCTATTTACTTTGTGTCACCCCATTGTGTACTTCTTTTCCGTTATCTTCTATCAGTCTATTATCTATACATGTCATTTCTCATACAATCCATCCACACTTTTCAAGATCATCCTCTACCCCAATATCCGTCAACATATATTTTTGCTTTTGTGCTTTTCATGCCTTCTCATAATATACCGATACGATGCTAATTTATTACTAATTCATTTCTCTAAGCCAATGGTATTATTGTTACTTTAAGTCTTTTTATTCTAATCACCCCACAATCTATCTCAACAGTCGCAGTTCGGTCACATGGAATTCTTCTCAACCGAAGTTGTGGTGGCCCAACATCAATTCCCTGAATATAACAGGTCTCATGATTGAGTCGTAGATTTGACCCTTGAACTTAAGGCACGTCTGTGGGTCAGTAGTCGTCGCATTTACCTATCGCTACTTCATCTTATTAGAATTTATCGTCACCTTACGTTTATTATTTGTTTATTAATTATATTCTGCTCCAGGGTCAACATTGTCGTCACTTTATACTAGTGAACCGGTGCAGTGTATTTAAATTCGCTGCACGTTGGTAGTTATATACCATTAAAGGCGATTGAAAAAAGCTGGTAGGACTCCAAAGTCGTAAATCAAGTGTTTCTTTAGACCAGCTGTGTCTAATTTGTTACATTTTTTCAACCTGTTCTGGCCTTCTCCGACATATGCAATTTCATCGGCCAAAGTCATGGACAAGGTGTATTCTCCTGTTTGTCTGATGTTTATGTAAAAATAAGGACTTAATGCGGAATTCTGATGTAGGACAACTGAGACCATTGACATTTGACGCTAATAGAGGACGTGTGTATTGGCATATAGTACATACCTTGAATAAGGCGCATTCCCTAGCAGTCTTTTCAGTTTTGAATACTACAAAATAGTATATTTTTATCTGCACGTCTGGTTTTTTCGTTGTTTGTTTATAAAAAATTATACCATCAATAGTCTCTCGTTCAGTTATAAAGCCAAATTGGTTGTGTTACCTCGCTTATCCACAGTCCATCTGCTAACGCTTTTACACTATATGACACGAGCTCTATTCTTCCATTTTTGCTACAGACATCTAGATCAACATTGCTTTTGAAGATACTCTATTACAATTATACCATTTCCTCTGCTATCTCCCTTCTTGTATTCACTAACTAATGAATAGAATCAGCAATATCATTCCTTATATATATACGCTACATTTTCCCTGCTTTTTAACACATAGTCTTTAGACCGCTTCCGATATTTAATTCTGTTGTAACGGTAGTGTATATTGTAAAATATTTCAGCCGCTTATAATTTTACGCCAGCCAAACTCTCTAACACCCAGATTCTTCAGAAATAAAAATTCTGCATATTATTATAGTATTACTGCATATACATAACTATGTTGACTTTATTTTAACAACAATACGATAATTTACACAAACAATAAAATTTTAAGACCTCCATCGTTTTTACATTCAGTCGTCATTGAGTTGAATCGACAATGCAATGGAAATGAAATCCAAAATCATAATTATTAAATTCTTATAACTAACTAACTTAATCTATGTACTTCATTTTCGTGTATCAAAAAGCTAACTAGAGAGCAAAATGCTAATTATAAATAGTTTTAGAAAGTGCCAAAAAATGTAAATAAAAGGACTATAAAGACTTACAAAAATATATTCTATTGCTATTTGTAGAAAATAACTTTTTTTTTATAAACTTATCTTTCATCCTAATTTATGAGTATATTTTTCGGTAGGTAGTAAAGAATTTTCAAATTCTTTTCTATTATATAAACAATACATAATTCCACATAAATTCGTACTATAATGGTAGAAAAAATATATTGTCAGGAAAATATCTGTAAAAAATTAAAAAATATGAACGAAATCTTTATATTTCGAGCGATATTTATTACCAATAATTTTCATGGAAATTCCTGCTACTCGTACTTAAACTGTTTTCAATAAAAAAATGTTAAATAAAGCGTTTTAATTCCTGTTTTCCTAGACCTTCATACTTACTTAAATATTTCTAGGGAACAAGAATTTCCAATACACAATACTCGATAACAGAAGCTACTTTTACGTTTAAAGGCAATTTCAACAGAGATGCTGTGAAATAATTATGAAATAGTTATAAAGAAAATATTGTATTTTGTTGTTAAACAATATTTAGGTTTTGTGTAAAATAAACTTATTTTAGGAATGCTCAGAGGTTTTTTTTTTATTATAATTAAATAAAAATATATCCCAAATTTCGACGAAAAAATATATAAAAATATGTATATATTTTTCAGGTTGTAGCATGTTTAGCATTAAACGTGCTGTTGGTCGGTCTTGGAATGTCGATGAGTTTTGTGACCATGGTGCTGCCAGAAGTACTTGATGCTAAAGAAGGATTGTCCATCAATAAGAACCAGGCTTCGTGGTTTGGTGAGTGAAATACTTTACCTCTATCAGTCATAAAATATTAGGTTTGTTATAACATTATCACTTTTCGGTCGATTGAGAAAAATGGATATAATCGGCATTTGTGTAATTATATTTTTATATTAAAGCAAACTACGTAAAATTAAATTTTAAATAATAATTTAAGTTATTCTTGATTATAAATTATATTTTTATATACAATGGCAAAAGCACCTAATATTTGAAGTCAAAACGCTTATACAGAAAATAATTCTTGTGAAATGTTCAGCGAACTTTTTCCAAATCATTAACAACTTCGCCAACCCAGTTACAAGATTCTTACGAAAGCCTGCAATTAAATTTATGCCTATTCTCACAGTATATTTCTGCTGATTACATGATTGACATATATGTCCAAATTGTGTAGCCGGCATTATCTGTCGCGATGCATAATTTATAGTTATATAAATGTACGTATAATTAAATAGTACCAGGAACTAGTTTCGTTGAAATAAAATTTTAAATACGTATAATATAATCGGACACGTTTATATCTAAAATGCTAATCTTCTGATAATCTTAATTCTTTTAAAAAATGTATAATATTGACATTTACATATACGTCTAAACTATAAAAGGTTATGAACTGTATATCAAACAGCAGAAGAATTTTTAATTAGACTAGTGTTAATTTATTCATTTATGTATAATTATTACAATGATTTGATACAAATAAGGTGACTTTATGAAAGTCGTTCTAAATATTCAGTTTTAATTCGTTTTGACAAAAATAAAATAAATTATGTAAATTATATGTTTAAAAATATAAACTGCATTTTATATCACATTTGAATAAAATAAGATTTTATACATTCAAAACCTATTTTGTTATAATTTATGTGGATATATTTTGAGTGCAATAAGACGATTAGGTAATATAGACAATAGGTATATATATATCCTGTACGTAACTACTAGAAATTTCTTATTATTGTGAATGATTGAGGATATAAATTGATATATGTATTAAAAAGTCATGCGTAGGCAGGGACTCTAAAAATAGTTTAAACAAAAAATTGCTTATCAAGATGACGTAATTTCAAAAAAAGTTGTCGAATAGAAACATGTTAATGTACTTATATTTATGATGTACAAAGTATACATTAAAATACTTTTAAAGCAGAAGATTTTATATCAAAATTGTATTAAAATCATGACAATGAAAATATAGAAGATTTTTTTAATAAAGAGTTGTTCAAACGTAAATATTTCTGACTAGTTACACCTCGCTTAACATAGATAGTATCATGGTGAGTTGTAAAGCATTAAAAAAAGTTTTAGTTGAAATTATATATTCATTTTAAATTAAAAACATACAAGGCATCTGATAGCAATCGTTTCATAAAACATATGATATGATGTCTTATTAAAAAGTCATTATTTTAAATAATTGGTTCGATTTATATTATAATCATTATTAATATTAATACATGATAAATAGATGAAAAGAAAAACTATTGGTTTCATGTATATCATTAAAATAGAAGTGAATTATGACGTAAATGAGAAAGCTTGTAACTAGTGCTTTAACATAAAGAAATGTACAATGAAAATTCTATTATTATTGTTATTGATTTCATTCAAAAATACTGTTCAGAATCTCCTAAGTTTGGATCTGATTTAGTCAGTGGTGGGCTAGTGGTTAAAGGGCCCGCCTTTCGTGCATTCGGGTTCGCACCTGGCAAGTACCTACCAATGTGAGTTTTTGGAGTCATATGTACTTTCTAAGACTATTTAGACACCACTGACTGACGGTGAAGGAAAACATCGTGAGGAAACTTGGACTTATAATTTCACAATTATAAGTTTGAAATCACCAACCCGTCTTGAGCAGGCGTGGTGATTAATGCTCAAACCTTCTCCATGTGAGAAAGAGGCCTTTGCTCAGCAGTGGGCTTCTGATAGGCTGATGACGATTAAAACTATAAGCTTTGTAAGAAGTATTTAGAGATCATAAGAAAAACTTGTTAAATTGTTAATATTTTAATGTTAATATGTTGATTAATATACATTTAATTTAGTTAGTCTAGTGTTGTTGGAGGTATATTTTGTCGTTTAATATACAGGATGAGCATTTTACTTATTGGAGATTTGGTGATTAATAAATATAAATTATTACAGACTTTACTGAATAAAGAAATTTAATAGGTACTTAACACCATAGGGACAAAAACATAACATTAACATTTAAAATTATGTTAGTTCCAGAAACAAATGTCTTTTTCTGTAAATAAACTTATAATATACTGATGCACAAAATTATAAGAATATTATTGATATAAAATTATTTTGATGTTTAACATATGTTAAGCATAGAAAATGAAGCTATAAAAAGATGAATGGTATATCTAATTGCTAACAAATTTTTCTAATAAAGAATCGAAGCAAATATATATTAAAATTAAATTTTAACCATAACTTTATTGAGAGATGCCATTGTGAATAAAGGATTCATTGATATATAATAATAATCTTATAAACACGAATCAAGGTAAACAGCATTGAAGCTTTATGTAAAATAGTCATCAAGTTAGACATTTGAATTATTTTTTGGGTTCTGTACAAAAGATTTGCTTATATATATGAAAAAAGGATAAATATATGAAAGAAATAAGATAATCTAGTAGTATTTTTAATGAGCATATTAAAGTTTAACAGTTTAAGAATAATCAATTAATTAATTACTACTTAATTAATGTTGATAACGATTATTATAAAATTATTAAAACAATTCAAGATTTTTTTGTGATATCTATATTGTGCGGGTTTTTCTATATATCCTAACATTTATTTGCTAAGTGATAGTCTCATCTCATTATTAATTCTGACGATTAAGAAAAGAATAATATTAAAGTTTTAATAAAATTTATAAGATAGATTTGAGTCATATGTCAAAGGGTTATATAACTGATAAAATAAAACTGATTTGTTGTAAAGATAAAAAGATAAGAGACACATTTATTCGTCAAAAAACAATGTAATTACCATATGATTTGTCTGTTTCTTCGATTTTTTATTGCTATGATTTGTAGATGCTATGATTATTCTAATCGGAGGCTCTTCTCAGTGAATTTAAATAGATCATTAAATAGAATTAAATTTGATAAAATTGATTGTGAATAAACATACCTATATATATAGACCATTGAGATTTAAATAAAGTTAAACTTTTATATTAAACATTATCGTTTATATATATATATATATATTTATAATTTTATCTCACATTAAACTAATATTTTTCGGATTATACTATACGACTTTGTTTTTGTAAAAAACTACATACTCCCTACGAGACATCTGCCCATAATCACGGTTGCTGAAACGTCGGGAGTATGTAGTTTTTTACAAAAATAAAGTTGCATAGTACGTATTATTATCCGAAAATATTTGTTTAATTGAAATGAATAACACTCACGACAATCTCAGAATTCATTATTTTACTTAATATGTTTATAAGCGAAAACTATGAAACTTTAAGTATTCAGTAGTTGAGGCGTACGTACTTATTTTATAGCCCCTTATTCCATGTGTGAAAAGATTTATTTCTTTCAACAATCATATAAGGCCTATAAGTATTCATGAATATTTGTATAAATACTAAAAATTGTAATCATTACTGTAAAAATCATGTAGAAACAATCTCAATGAAATATTTGCAAGAAGTTATGGAACAAAATATGTCTTGGAAATCATTAAGTACCTATAAAATAAGAAAAAAGAAAAAAATCTGGTATAAATGAAGTTAATAATTATTTAGTTTATATATTTTGTAATTTTGTTGATGTTCATGATTTCACTCGTGTATATAAAAACACATCGTCATTTGAAATTGATTGTATATCTACTTCTTACTGAAAAAAGCAAGATAAAATACTGTCTAACAAAACTAATAGAACTGTATTATTAACTTCAATTAAATGATAGTCTTAAATTATATAAAAGACAATTGCTTAAGTAAATCATAATCAATATGAGTAAGATGTATTTAACTTGATAACTTCAAATTCATGCTAAAAATTTATATTTTTTATTAAAAGAATTTAATAACATAAACAGTTATATTTTTATATTTGATATTAAAAGTAATCTGTATCTATTTCAGGAAGCATGGCATTTCTATGTCAGCCATTGGGGAGTATTTTTTCTGGTCCACTATTGGATTACTTCGGGAGAAAAAAGGCTTTATTCCTCGTCAATATACCGCATTTACTGGCTTGGTTAATGATGTATTTTGCGTGGGACGTCCCTAGCCTGTTTCTGGCTAATGCTCTTCTGGGCATCGGCACCGGCATTATGGAAGCACCATCCGTTACTTACGTTGGTGAGGTCAGGTGAGATGATATAGTGAAAATATGCTTATATTCTTATCTAAATAAACAAGATTTGAATAAAATGAAACTAATACTTTTCGGATATACTTACTACGCGTGCTTTATTTTTGTAAAAAACTACACCTACTCCCTACGTTTCGGCTACTTTTCAGCAACCGTCTTTCCGTTGGTCCTGTTATTCATCATGTACTTTTCTAGTGCTAGATCTTATTAAGTATATAAACAAGATTTTGAAATTATCAATCATTCATCAAGTTAATTATATTAGATTAAGTTGTCAATCATACGACGAGACTGGTGCATAGTAAGACTCGAACGAGTTTATGATGGCACCTTTATTTATGTGAAAAGTTAACCAAACTTCACACAATATGGATTTTACTCGTAATAGCATAAAGTCATGAAGTAAATCCATATAAGTTACAGAAAATATAATTTAAATGCATTATTATAATGTTATCAGTACATATTTTGTTCAAGTTCATAAAATTAATATTTATTGTCACGTTATAATATATTACAAAAAATTACATGACTTTTGTATTTCGTTAAGTATTTTAGAATATTAATTGGAGTAGATAAGAGAGTGTGAATATAAAAGCAATTCGAAAAACAAAATTGAACGTGTATAACATGAATATTAATATAAGGAATTAAGATAGATAAGGAAATAATTTTTTGGACAAATATTCATGTTTAATTTATAAAATAGCTTGGATTTGAATGACAGTAATGTATGATTTATTTTGTATAATCAGTGAAATCTTTTGATAGTGGACAGCGACTTCTGTTTTGGATTGACAACACTAGTAATGCCTATGTTGTATAACAGATGGCATTAATGTTTTTTAAATAAAGAGAATTTTTGATTGAAAATCTCTAACTTTAGATTTATTGTTATTTATATTATTTCACGAAAAGCATATATAAATACCGGTTTCTTGCTCTATTGGTTATTTTTTTGTGTGAATAACTAGTTAAAGTATAAATTATAGAAGTTCCCATAAATTTTAAAATATTATTCGTTTGTTTATGTATTATATTACATTTTGTCGGATAAAATAATAAATAAATTGATACCAAAATATTAAATTAATAAATATTTTCTGGCTTAAAGATGTCTTTTAGAGGATTTAAACCTGAGTGTCTTAAGTAACTTAACCAAGTGTTCTTTAGCCAAATGCGTCTAGAATTGATTAAAGGAAAGGACCTGAGTCTCTCCTTATCATATAAGACTGTTGTACGAGCGCACATGCGAACATTTAAATGATGGTGAATACTTCAGCAGTAGTGGCTAAGAACAATCTTGCTCTAGGTATTTAGGCAGGCGTTTTACCCTTAGTTAGTTTGAAACTTAAAATGTTATTAGATAAAAACAAAAGTAATAATTTTTTAGAGATTTTTTTAAATATTATTTTTATTTTCCAGTGATGCTTCGCTACGCGGGACGCTTACGACCCTGACAAACGGTTTCACATCAGCTGGTATGTTCATGGCTTACCTTCTGGGAACAGTTGTATCATGGCGCGAAGCAGCACTCGTGTCGCTCACTGTACCTCTTGCTACCATGTTATTAGTTCTTTTTGTGAGTATCTTATATACACAGCAAACTCGTCTGAAACCTATATTTATATATAAAACTCTACTATTAGTCTGTATGTCACTGAACTCCTAAAAGGTTGGACCGATTTGATTGATTTTTTTATATGCATTTGGATGGCACCCTAAAAGGTTTAGATTCACATATCAGACCTACAGATGGCGCTGCAGTTAGTATCTAGGTTATTTCAAATGAAAAATCTGCAATATAAGTTACTATAATATGTATTGATTTAACACACTTTTTATACCTCTCTCTGAGAGTAACTCTGATATTCATGCTGAAAAAATTATTACTATACATATATGTATTTTTAATATGCAATATTTTTTATCGAAATTTTAATATGAATATGTTTCAGGTCCCTGAAACTCCTATTTGGTTACTATCAAAAGGCAGACAAAAAGAAGCACTAGATTCACTCTGTCGTCTTCGAGGTTGGGTTGAACCAGAAGATGTTAAAGAGGAATTTAACCAATTAGTGGAATATAGTAATAATATAAGCAGATGTGTTCTATGTACCAAAGAACAAGAGCTGGATAGTAAAATTTGTAAACATTCATCTTATAATTTTATGAAAAGATACCTTCTTAGACTGAAGCATTTACTTTTTGTGAAAGAAACGATGAGACCGTTCGGATTAGTCATGGCATATTTCTTCTTTTACACCATGAGTGGTCTCCTGCCTGTTAGACCTAACATGGTGAATGTATGCAAGGCTCTGGGAATGAAATTTGATTCCAAAGCAATTGTGGTACGTATTTGCTGTATATATCCTTGGTTACTTATTTATTTCTTTATATACTTATAAATTTATTTATATTAACAAAACACACTTAACAGGTTTCGACTTATAAATACATAATTCTTTAAACGTTCCGTTATGATATTTTTCGGTTCACAAAACTTAATACTCTCTATAAACGATAGAATGTGCATACTTATAATTATGATTAAACAGCCTTACATTATATAACTTAAATTTACAATAAAACAAACAACTTTGATTAAAGTGAATGAGTAAAAAGTAACAGTAAAAGATCAATTAATATGCAAAAGTAAGTAAAGTCGATCACATAGAAATCAAAAAATAATTTTGTTTAGGTATACCTATATAAGTTTAAGGCGAGGAATTAATTATAAATATCATTTTTTTGTTTCCAGGTCAGCGTCGCATTGGTATATATTGTGATGAATATTGTATCAGCTGTTGTAGTTAAGATGTTTGGGAAGCGTAAATTGATACTAACATCACTTTTCGCTTCAGCTTGTAGCAGCCTCGCTTTAAGTATATATGCGGGCGTTAAACTGCCAGTTAGCGTATTTTCATATGAACCGAGTACATTTCCTAGTCAAACAGAAATTATTCCTGTTATACTATTTATGTTGCTAGTTTGTTTCACCAGTTTAGGTATACCATGGATCTTGCTGTCTGAAGTCTTTCCTTTCAGGTATTATATAGATTTTCTTTTAAATATTCATATAATTTTTGGAATAAGCGATTATTGTTGTTATTTAAAGTATTATAAGTAATGACGTATAATAATATTTTTTTCCAGGAGTCGTGGTATGGCTACGGGATTGGCTGCCGCTTTAAGCTACCTCATTTTCTTCGTAGCAGCAAAATCCAATTACAACATTGAGGAAAATTTCCACATGAGTGGCTCCTTTATGACTTATGCCATACTGGGTTTTATGGGCACAGTATATTTGTACTTCTTCCTTCCAGAAACCGAGCGAAAGACATTAGCCGAGATTGAAGCGTTCTATAAAGGGAAGTCGAAAATATTTGCAAATGATTTTGTTATAAACGCTTTTAGGAAAACAAAAATTGAGACGAATGGCGCAGACAAACCAATGCTAGATTGTTGACAATTGTTTAATGAATTGAATGTTTTTTTATTATTCTGAGTAATCAAAAATTGATTATTGAATGAAAACATCCAAATAATTCGGATGAACTGTGTGAGATTAAATTATTTAATTTTTAGATTATATATGTAGATAATGATAATAAGCTTATCTCATGGCTGTTAGATGAGATTATTTTCAAGTTCTTCGTCCTATTTCCTAATTTCCGTTCAGCGTGATAAGAAATGTTTTCTTCCATATTCTAATTCCTTTCAATATGATAAATATGAAGAGAGCACAATAATTTTTTTATAATAAGGTTTAAAATAAAAGAAATTTTATGGCCGTTTGTTATATATTTTTTAAATAAAATATTTTTTTAATAAAATATATTTTTTTTATGTTAATATTCTAAAAAAATCTCTCGTTTCACCTCTTGCTGTTGTGAGCCATGTGACAGGTCTGCCGCAATTATTACATGTTTTACTGTGACTTGTTACTGTAGTTGTTCCTAATGATGCCGTCAAAAATTGTTCTGGAGTAGGGTTACTCAGAACTTCTATATTTGTATCATTTTTATTTTGACAGCATTGGCATTCTTCGTCACAGTTAACAATGTCAAAAACTGCAAGAAAATGAAAGTGTGATTCATTTGTATTATGGAGATATGTATATATCAATAAAATATAATATTGTATTATGTCGCAAACTGCATAATTTATTTAAACTTATGTATCCTAAAAGGTATGCAAGTTTATTTTCAAGTAGTCCATACGTTTAGGGGACCATTAATTAATATTTTAATAATCATAAAGAATAATTACGAGTGAAAAGATAAGTTTTAATGATTTTTGTAATTTAGTTTTTGTACTTCATTGTTGATTTATGAATCAACTAGACTTGAAAAAAAAACACTTATTTGATTAAATCGACTAACCCGTTCATGAATTTTGAATGAATATTTAGGAAAACTTTCATACATACATAAGGTATGTACTTGGGTTAAAAGGCCTCTTATTAAAAGCGAGTAACTTAATAACTTAACAATTTATTTCATATGCAAATATCATACATACATTATATTAGAATTTATAGCTTTTCTTCTGTATTTAGCGGTGGTAAACCATGTTAATGGTCTTTGGCATCCATTCTTGCATTTCCTTGTTGGTTTTTTATAAGATGATAATATATTTATTGCATCATCAGTCACGGATAGTAAGCGGTCTGTTGGTTTTGTACTAGGTTTCTTGGTAGTGGCATATGGACTTATATTTTTGTCAGGAATTGTAATTTCACTTACGACGGGCAATGTCTGTAAAGAGTCTATATCATAAATGTAATTAGTGTTTTCTTTTGAACTGCTCTCGCTATCTTCCTTAATGGTTGTGCCAGTTTGTAGGTGTGTTATAATATTTGTTAATTCAGTGGTAGTTTCCCAAGTGAGAGGTCTGTTACAACAGATTTGATTCCTTCGCTGAGTATTTTCATTTTCAGTTGTTTCGGTATGTATACTTTCTGTTATTTCGGTGTGTTCTTGAGTAATCCAATCCGAGGTTTCATTTGTTTCATCATAATTTATCTTATCATCACTCGTCGAATCGTTTCCTTTGGTATTGTCTGTCAAAGATGTCTCGACTGACGTACTTGTGAAGTCGTTGGTAGTTTGACTTATTTTAGTATGAGTTATATCATCAGTTTCGTCTGTAGAAACTTCATTTATGGTTGTTATATTTTTTTCCGTACTGATTTCAATTGTTACAGTACTTATTGTCACTAAATTGAAACAAATACGTAATGCTTTGTAGTAAAGTAACGAAAAATTTTAATAAAAACATATTTTTTTATATATTACCGCTTGTAACTGTTTCAGTTAATTCAGTTTGTGTTTCAGTATGTTGGGTAGACGTCGTAATGTCTTTACAAAATGGTTTATACGTTTCCTGATACCCTAGAAGTATTTTTATTTAGGCTAATCAATTAAAAATTGAGCGGTCTTAGTTAGATTGTATAGTATTTAATTTATTTGGAGTAAAACTAGTTAAGTTCATTATATATTTTATTTATCAATTTTAAATCCTCTGTCAGCACGAGAATTCTGGTTGTCCGTTCGTGCAGGCGTTTGTTACTTTTGTCATGTACTCTGAAAGATAACAATATCTTTAACTAATTGATTCATGTATTCATAATCTTATCGTATATACTAGTTTTACTCCAAATCGTAAAAAGTTAAGAAACACTCAAATAACAAGTACATACATACATTAATTATTGTTCAATAAGAACGTAATTAAAGAAATAGATTCAATTAAAATCATACTTAGATAGAAAAAATTGTAATATAGGAAAAATGTTAAAATGAATATTTCTATAAAATTAAAAAATCTGAATTATATTGAAAAATACTTTCATAAATATAATTTAATTCATTTTAATAAATTTTATTGCTAGGTTTATTATTTAACCAATAAAAACAGTTTATAATATTCTATGACGAACTCAAAATACAATGAATGTAACTGTAGATTACTCTTAATCCTTGACATACATTTATTTGGATTATTATTTGGTAACGCAATGTCATTTACCTTAAAGTTTTTGTTAAGATAACAGATAAACTAAATGGAGTCAGTATTACGGTTGGTTTAATAACCATTTTAATAAATGTATTGGTTTTTCAAATGTATATTGACAAATAGAAAACACGTCAAATATTGTTTTCCTAAACTATCACTAATGTTTTATAAAACTTCATTAGTTAGGTAATATTAGACTAAAAAGATAAAAAAGAGAAACCTGGAGTTTTGAGATACAGTAAAATATCAATGAGATTTCCACTTTTCAAATGAGAAATATCTAGTAGCAGTTTTGATAAAACTTTCCTACTTACTGGATTGCTCATTAGATTGAGCATTTTCATACAAAAGTACCATGTAAGTGGCTTTATGCCCATAGTAGGTATATAAAAATGTTATTCTTATATAATGGGACATATACTCACGAGTACCGTAGTCACAGTTGTACTCATACATGTCACATTGATCCAGGAAACTCCTTCGGGTGCAACCATCTGGAGTTGAAGCGCAGACCTGGTGGCTATCATGAATGCACGTTGAGGCCATGTTGCAGAAATTTACTGGCTGGAACCATACTACTATTACTAAGAGACGTGTATTTATTGAGTTTGTGTGTGTTTGTTTCGCACGCGTTTTTGTTTTATGGGTGGTATGAAAAAATATACAGGGTTACTGGTGAATTACTATCAATAATTAAGGAGAATACTCGGTACATGATTCTCATTCGAATTATGTAACAAAAATAGGCACTTAATTTTTGACAAAATTTCCGTATAAATAAATAAAGTGTTGACACGTTCCAAGTGTTCCAAGTGTGGACGCGTGCGGCGGCGTGCTGATACAACACCCCGCCGCCGCACGCGTATGTGTGAGTGTGTGTATATACCTAATCTGTAGGGTGTTCACACGATGCGTCATTAATTACATAACTTTTGGTTAACTTTACTTAGAAGTTTATTAATATTTATGTTATATTAATTTTTATTTTATCATATATGATCGTCAAATATCGCGTCCTCAAGTATCGATAGTAATTCACCAGTCACCCTGTATATAAGTGTATGTTTTTATGAACATAAGCGGATAATGGTCACAGAATGTTATTCTTCTTGTAACCTTGGTACAGATGTATCTGAATGAAACTAAAACTATACTTTATTTTTTCATGTTGCATAAAATGACATTCGTTTTGAAATAAAAATATTTTAGATGTAATTCAAACTTATGGACGATATCAATGGTTATGGATAAATGGTATTAAATAAAATAAAGTCTGTAACTTAATAATATTACTAAATCATTGTCACTTAGTCTCTTTCAAATTATAGAAACAGAACTAAGATAAAATATTTCCGAGAATTTCTGCAATAAAGATAAATCTTCTACAGACGTCAAATATTAATAATGACGCATCTTTCTTAGGTTCATTGTTCATGATGAATGTAAAATAATTTAATATAATCTATTCAAATAATAAAGCTGTTTAGAAAGTAAAGAAATTGTTGTGGTAAGAATTTATTTATATTGAGGAGGTAGGTTATAAGACCGGCTTAAGTTTTACTATATTTGTTTAGGAAATATTTCAATTGGAAGAACAAGCGAGTCAACGTCCCTATACTTTGCTTGTTTCAGAATAATAAAATCAGTTAGAAGACCTCAAACTTATAGTAATTTTCGTTGTTTTTTTTATTTTCTTGGAATCAAATTTTTCCACCTAAATTATTCTCATATTTTCTTAATTTAACTCCACTAATATATTAATATTGTAATATTTTGAAGGGTACTTATATATTTTAAAACTACGATGTTATTGGTTTTATGAAACTGAATAATAATATAAAATTTTTATGTATATAGATGACGTTATGTATATGTTTACAAATCAGGATTTTGCAAACAAAATTGTAGAACACATCCAGTAAAATCAAAAAAAGAAAATACAGTTGATTATTTTAATTATTATTCATATTGAAATCTTCAGTCAAAAATTCGGATATTTTGTCTTTGCGGATTTTACTTTTGACGAGGAGTTCCAAAAGGATTTTGAAATAAATAATGAGAAACGATAAAAAATTAATAAATTATGAACTTTATGGAAATTCTCCTTTCAACTATTTTACCGTTACAAAACATGAATGTCATAAATGCAGACTAAGATGGTAATTAATGAATTAGAGAAATAATTTTATTAATTGATTTGAACATTAGGAACCGAATATTAGTAGTCATTACTAATAAATTAAAAAAATTAATCTTAATGCCCTAATTACTTTGACGCTTAAAAGTGTGAGTAAAGAGGACATAAAGGTTTCTAGGACATTTACTTATTTTTGGCACCTATTTTTGTTATATTTGTCTAAGTGGAAATGTAAAGCCTAATTATTGAGCTAACATATGAAAGACTATAAGCCAATAGCTAGGGAAAACAATTATACGCTGACTGCCTACCCACTTCTATTTTGTCAGTGAAGTAGAAATATTCAGAAGTCTTACATTTGCTTCTTTAGAAGGATTCCGTGTACAAATGACTAAAAACTGTCTATGTTCAGTACGAAAATGTTCGTTCCTTTAAATGTTAATAAAATACAAAACTCAGACACGAACTGTTTCGGTATGAGCAATATTATTCACAACTTATTTACTTTAACTGTATTTGAGTATTACTGGTAACTTAAATTAAACATTGAAATAATTATAAACCAGGCTGAAGTGACGCAAATGTAACACGAGAAACTATATATAATATTTTGTTATAAATTCACATCCTTAGCTTCGTTTCGAGAATATGAAATTTTTGGACATAATCTGTTCTAATTTATATCAATACAAAAATCTCGTAAATATTATTGATAACCTATTTTTAAGTTCAGCAAAAATAATATCAAATAAACGTTTTTCTTACAATAGTTCCATTGAATATAAAACGCCGGAATAAAATATAAAATCACGATACGTAAATAAAACCAAAGAATTGTTTTAAACAATGGACACTTAAAATTAATAAAATAACTAGATTTGTACCATTCAAATATTGAGAGTACTCATAAATAGTATGGAATTCAATAAGCATAATAGGTAAATATATTTTTAACATATTTTTATATTTGTCCGATAAAATAGAAGCGTGAAATTGTTATTTTTATATTCAGCAACATGATATAGTTCTAAACATGAAATCATTCTTTCTTGAAATTAAATAATTTGTTGTATCATTAAATTAGCACTCGACTTGTGGCAAAACTGCAAACATACTCACATAATTCTTCATGTTCGTGTAAATATTTAATGTAAGTTAAACTGATTTGATTTGTGACGATATTTTTGATGAAAATTTATTATAATTAAATTTATATACTTATAATGCCTACATAGGATAGATGTTGTAGCGTCTCCAAGACGTGAAGTGCTGAAACAAAATTACCAAGTTAGTTATTTAATAACAAACTCAAAAATAGATGTGATCGGCTTTTTTAATATATTCTTCATATTATTTTTAACAACACTTGAACAAACAGGTGAATTCAACTCATTTTTAAACATTTATTTGACTTACTCAACAGTACAGCGTAGAATATCATTATAACTTTTCTTTTTGTTACATTTTAACTGGCACCCGCGTTATCGGTTTTACCGCGCTATAAAAACAAATTAAACCTATATAACAAAATGTTGGTAATAAATTGAAAAAAGAAACAATTTATTTTATTACGTAAAATAAATTTTAACTATTTATTTAAATATCATATAAATATTTAAGTTAATTAAATCTAAAAGTAGTTAAAACAAAATCTGTGTTACCGATTTTGAATCGTTAATGCTGGTTCAAATTAAGTATAATGATTTTGTTATATATGAACGAACATGTCGCGAGCGTTCCTCATAAAGAGAGTTAAACACAATTATTACTAAGAGACACTGAATTCTGTATCATTACATTGTCCTTAGCATAACGGAGTAGTTGTGCCTCGGAGTATTAAGTCTCGTTCCGTTATCATTAATGACATACTCAAATTGTGACGTTATAGAATATGTTATAGAAATTTAAAAGTGAAGCCCAAAAATGGTGATAAAATTGAAAATAAATGATACAAATGAGAATGTGAGTCGGTTGCGATCTATATCGTCTCAGGTATGTTTTGAATTTGAATTCAATAATTCGATATGTGGATATAAAAGTGCTTAAGGAAAAATAATTTTTCTTCTACATGTAATTGATTAGATTGAATATTTAAAAAAAATGTAGTGTATTGAATTATAATAAGTGATATGGCCATAACTATTTTATTTTTAAAGTTTTAAAACATCGAAAGGGTCATGAGTTGATTTGTTTTACATAATATGTATATTGTATATATTTATGTATGTTTCAAAAATTCGCTAAACAGTTAAATATTGTATCATTGTAGTTTTTATGAGTTTTTCGTGAAGTGTTTTTCAAAAAACTATTAATAGATGACGTTGTTGAGAGTTTGTTCTGATGTCCACATTGTTACTAATAAGAAGAGTTAACCGCTAACAACAGTAACTGTTCAATATTCTTAATGGTTGCCTTAAACCTGACTGTAAAAAATTTATGTGGACACTAAATTATCTGAACGTATAGGTGTATAAAGTTGACGAAACCTGTTCGGGATAATGAACTATGAAATAAAGTACAGAATTGGATTTAAGCATGATGAAAACAATTAAAATTATTTGGCAGATTCTGGATTGAACTTTAATTTATTGTTTTTTAAATTCTAATTATGGTTGATATTTTAAACAGTTCCATTTTATTTTGCAGGAAAACCAAAACTTGTTTCAAATGAATGAATAATAATATTTTGTTTTCATTTTTATTACCAAGAAATGAAACAAAAGTAAAATATTTACATTTATTTATAATTAAAAAGTTTGTTTTGTCATTAAAATACGATTATTTTAATCGATATTAGTAGTATGTATTATTGTTTTCACTTTAGTTGAATTTATAAAATTTTATGTCATGACATTTGTTTATTGCGAAGAAGGTTCTATGTAAAAACTTAAATTAAGGTTTACTTTGCATTACTATTTTTAAGCGTATCAATACTTTCATAATCTCTTTAAAGAAATGTCTTAATTTGACTTATCTATTAGATATCTTTTTACGAATGAACTATTTAGTAGAATTCATAGCTAGTAGGTAATCGATATTGGATACCACGTGCTTAAGCTGGGAACATATATAACATACAGTATATAACAGTATGTATAATGCACATATTATGTGTGATTAAAAACATCTATGATATCTAAGACTTTTGCGAGCATTAATTTAAATAAAACTTATATTTTCGTATGTACTACACGTTTTTTATCTAACTACAAACTCCATACTCCCGACGTTATGGTTACTTTTGAAAGAGCTGTGATCACGGGAAACGAGATGAGAAATGTTTTACTTAAAATCATGTTATTTATAAACATATATCTCTTACATTTTACTAATAATATATAACTTTATGAGACACTTAATAGTTTTGTTATATGTAACAAGCTTAAGATGACGCATCGCCATAGTAGACTATACATAAACGTCAATATTATGAATTGAAATATTTCGCTGTCTAGTTAATAATTTATGTGAGTAACGTTTAAGTAAGATAATATTATATATAAAGAATAAAATTTTAATTTCTTTTTAAAATCATATTTATTCTGTACAATATATTTAATTTTAAAGATGGAATTATATTTTAAATTTTATGATTTTATTTATATCTCAAGATACCCTATATAAATGTTAAAAAAACTTTTATTTAATATAATTATTTTAACTTTAAGAATAACAATGATTATATATATCTAAAACTAAGTTCGGATATAGCATGTTTTTCATTATATTGTATTTACATGATCCTGACGTTTCGGTTCCTTTATAGTTTACAGCAAACGTATTACGGGCCGACGAGATGCAAATGTCTGTCAGTTCGTCTTGTTACCTCTCATCTTCTGCTAACGATTTCTTAATATTCTCTCAAGATGCCACTATAATAATAATAATAATATTATTATTATTATTATTATAAATATGTTAAGATGTTTCCTTATGTCCAAAGAATCGAAAACGTCTTTTTTATGTTACATAAAGGAATATATTTTTTACATTTTACGGGTTTATGTTGGTGAAAATTAAATTTCATTGATATTTCAGTTCCGCATAGCTATGTAGTCTCTCAACCTTAACCCACTTCCATCTTTTATATAACGTCCTTACCCAAAAGGTAACTTAGAAGCAATTATAAACGATAAGGTCACCTTTTGTTTTTTTGCCAACCATCTTCTTTTGTGAAATTTTATATTTATTTTACTTTGCATTGTGTAAAGTAAAACATATTTCTATATGTCTTGTATTTTCATTTTTCATTAGATGGACAAATAACAGTGATTAGTTTAGGCTTATGATAATTTATTTACAAATTATATGTATAATACAATCATATTGTAAATATAAAAAATTGCTATGAGTTTTAATGTTCTTGCTTTGTTGGTTTAGTGATATTTCAAATATTTTATTTTAGAAAATGTGCAATGCAAAACGTACACAAGTGTTAACCAAACAAGATGCAAATTTTATAACAATATATACGTAAAATAAAATGAAAAGGCTGAATTGAGTACATAACAAAACTCTTAGTTTGTTTTCAGTTTCTTTCTTTAAATAGAATTTTTAGAATGTCAAATTTTGTTTCTAAAAAATTACTGTTTCTCGACCAGGTCAATTGCTTGAAAACATTTCACATTTGAACAGTTTTCAAAGATATTATTCTAAGTAAACAATACTTATTAAATTTTTTAAACCGTATTTTAAATACATTTCACAATCATTGTATTATATTACTAGCAAGATGAGGTTCCGTTTTATTTTTTCATTAAAATATATTTTTTCATTAATTAAATATGTCAGGAGAGATTCAAATTAATTAATTCATTGATATCTGATTGTAATTTTACGAACTTCTCAAGGACATAAACTCTCAACAATCTCAATATGTTTTTTTCACATTTCATTCTATTTGTCTGAATTCTGTTTAACAATAGTTGATCGACTACCGTGATTTTTTTAACTTTCACATTATAAAAAACAAAAGTAGTTTTAGCACAGAAAAAACAACTGTCAGTAAAAAAATTAATTACTAAGTTGAACTCATATGACATACCTACATATCCGTTTTGCAAAAAAAAAAAAATTTAACCGAGAGAAGCTGTTGACGGGAACGAGTTGTTATTATTAACAAATATATTTTTCAGCTAATAGCATGTTCTTCTTCATTTTTATTATTATTTGACTTGGGAATGGCGATAAATTTTTCAACAATTATAATACCAGCATTACTTGACTCTAAGGGGGAATTATCATTTGATGAAAGCCAGGCTTCTTGGTTCGGTATGAGTATAGTTTTTTTTGTTTGCCTATAAACTCTTTCAGTTACAACTGTATTTATATTTAATACAATTATTTTATTTCAGGGAGCATATCATTTCTAGCCCAACCAATTGGAGCAATAGTTTCTGGTCCCTTAGTAGATTATGTAGGACGCAAGAAGGCCAACTTTTTAGTTAATATACCGATGATAGCGGCTTGGCTTCTTATGTACTTTGCTTGGAATCTACCCTCGCTCTTCACTGCCAATGCCCTGTTAGGAATTAGTTCGGGAATCATGGAAGCCCCTATTAATTCTTATGTTGGTGAAATAAGGTAGGATTTTTATATTTTTTCTACAGAATAACTCCATTTGCCTAAATCTTTCTTTTATGTTCAAGTCTATCCATCATCTTTTTACGCTGATCAGGGGTAAATGCTTTTATGCTAGAAAATCATAGTATTTGTAGATTTGCTTGTCACACGAGAGAGAAGAACTAACTATTTACTTTCTAAAATTAATTTTTAACACGTTAATTACAACATTGTGCTTAAACAGAATATGAAGCTACTTCAGCCATTCTCTTTGTCCAGCACATAGCTGTGTCTTTTAATAATTTCTGCTATCTTTATAGAGGCAATAGAAATTTCTTACCGAAAGTCATATCATAGACCTATTCTGAGGTTGAGTGTCTTGTTAGATTTAGCCATTGCCTATAAATTATAATGTTTAAGCCACTTATACAAGCTGCGTTGTTAGCGAGGAAGCTTAAGTTTTATATATGTACAATCCCTGGCGGATATAGTTCATAGTAGTTTCAAGTTGAAATGAATAGAAAATAGTCTTTAAATGTAGAAGAAAATTGGTCTTCATTATTCCGGAGTAATGAAATTGTGAACTAGATTATATAATAAAAACAATATTCTTGATACTTTTTTAATAAATATCAAGGCAAGACAATACTTTTTTGTGATTTATCCGTCAAAAAACCGAACGGTGTTTTTGTCATAGTAAGAACATTATATGTTATATAAATAAACTTCTGTTAAATTGTGTTGTAAATATTATTGTAAAAAAAATGTAATGTTAAGGCGTTGCTCATATTAATGATAGGTATGTATTGTGTAAATAATCACAAAATAAATATTATTATTATGAAAAATAACTTTTGTGTTCAAATTTATCCGTTACGCATTAAATTCGTTCATTCATTCAACTTTGTTTACATGAAATAATGATGACATATTTCATTACATTGAGTTCGAAGTTTGATTATTATTATATTCATATCTTGACCATCACAATGAGAATTCCAATGACGATTATTTGCTGTGCACTGGATAATGATGTCAATATAGTCATAATAAAAAATGAAGGTATTTAAGTCATTTGCTACATCTGATAAAACACCATCTAGCCTTTTGTATATTGGTAAATAATAATATATTTTCAACTACAGGTATTTTATTACAAACATAATCTTTCAGGCTAGAGAATATACCAAGGTTAAAAACGTTACACTGAATTACTAATTTGTCCTTACATATAGTCAGACATAAGATGTCTTTGAATTTTAATACCTTAGTTTCACGGTCAAAGAATTAAAAATCTACACATTTTCCAACAAACAACTAATTATTATTAGACACAATCATATTAATCTTTCACATATCATTTGTTCATCATAGTTTGTTCTCTTTGGCGGATAATAATTCTTTTGTTATGTTTGATCATTTCTTAAACATTAAGTACGCACACATTTATTTTTATTGATTAATATAACTATAATAATATCATTGACTATGGTGATGTATATTTTTCGAACTTTAACGAAGCAATTAATGAATATAATCGTTTGCTTAACAGATTCGTTACATTTATTTTAAGGACTATGTTAATTTGAACATTTCTCCGATTATAGATATCAATTAAAATGGATGCGAAAAAGCGACCCTTGATATTTCAAGATATTTAGCATTTTCAATCTTGGTGTTCCAATATACGTATACGTATGCATTTTTTCAGACAAATTTATGTACATTGTTGTTTGAATATCATGACAGTTTTGTTTTTTGAAGAAATATTTTTGATATCTGTCTGAATCATGTATTTTAACAGGTACGAGTATTTAGGCACGGATGAAGGCCATATTATAAAATATAATAATAATAATATTTAGTTCTGGAACGGTTTGCCAGACCTATAAGTAGGCGACGTTAAGACTTGCTTTTAAATACTCGAATCAGTATTTTCTTAGGTATGCATAATGCACCTTCAAGTTTTAAGGTTAAGGTCGCCTTTTGTGCATCTTTTATATGTGTGTAAAGAAGACAAATAATGATAAAAACGAATGAATGAAAGTATGAAAGGACTGACGAATGAACAGACAAATGCAATAATTATCCGCCATCAGAGCTTGGTAAATAAAACATACTAGCCTTATGTTGTAGATGTGAATTGATGGTAATCACACACAATCAAATCAACTTACGAGTAGATTGTTAAAGCGTATAACTCCTGAATAGACAAGACACTGAACTCAGGATTCTTTCAACAAAAAGTGAATATATCAGATCCAAAGGAATTTGTTTTTGGTTCAAATTGTTCGTTTCTCTGGGAATTCTTATATTGTAAATATGATAAGTAGGTATGACGTCGACTGAACGACGTGTTAATAAATTTTAATAGTTAATATTGCTTTACTGACTGTGAGGAGAAATGCGAAGAATCTTTTAAAGTGGAAATTACTGAATTAAAATTTTAATCAATAATATTATTTTTAATCCACTTCAAAAAAGGAGTTGGATCTCAGATTGTCTGTATTTTTTCCTTATTTGTTACTTCATAACTTTGAAGTGAGAAAACGATTTTTAGTTTTTTTTTTATTATTTAAAAGCTTATACTTTCCCTTGGATCCCATCTCAATTTGGTGGATCAAATGCAATGGCATCACATTGTTCTTACAATAGCATCCATAAGCAAACCATAAAAGTCTAAAATTAGCATTAAGTACGTGTGCGACAAATGAACGAGAAACTTCAATAACAACCCATTTCGGTTTATTTATTCATAAGGGGAGACTTCAAACATTGTCCCATGATTATTGATTAAACAAGACGTGATTATGGAATCCTGAGAAAATTTAGGAAAATCCTTAAAATGTATAATCATTAAGTAGTGTCATTATTTAAGGTATATTATGTATGACTTTCTTTGTTGGAAGCGCGATTTCAAAATCTTGTTTTTAAACTATTTTAAAAGACGAGGGGTTTCTCAATTAATCTGATATTTTTTTATGTATGATTCCTAATATCTCCAATACTCCAGGACCGATTTAAGAAATTGGTGTTTAGTTATTTAATCTGTACAAGGCACCGACTTCAAAATATGATTAGGTATTAAGAAATTTTATACATATATTTAATTATGTATTAAATTATATTATTGGAAAGTAAATAAAAATAGTCTTCGTTTTCTACATTGGGTGTTTAGTTATTTTTTGTGCAGATAGGTATTTAGAATTATTATTAGATGGGTTCGGTTAGGAAATAAAGTTTAAGTGTGAAATTATGTTTTGCTTTTTAGTTTCTCTGTTCCTATGGTCCATTCTTGAAGTCAGTTTTGTTTGGTAAACAAATCATAGTCAGTCTTTATCAGGTTAGTTGCTCTTGTAAATGTAGAATTTATTATTGAATTACAACGTGATATTCGAAATTTATTCTGCTAAATAATTATTTTACTCTATTAGTAATTATTCTTATTATCTAATAATTATTCTGCTAAATAAATTAATAATAGAGTAGTGAAGACACGGAAAGAAAATAATTTTGGAATATTGATCTCAGACTTTATTACTAAATCACTGTATATAAGGCGATGTCTATTGAATTTTAAAATGTATATTTATTTCATTTTTCTGGTTCAATATGGGTAACACATAAAAGAGTAAATTACACTGACCATAGTAACGGTTTAGTTGGCCATGCAGGGTTCCAACAGTAATAAATATTATACTTAAATAGAATATTACAAAATTTGGTGTGGGAGTAGCTAGGGCTTCGATAACAATCATTTTAATTCAGCTGAAATTTATGTAGATAGAATCTAAATTGAGTTAACTCACAACCTCGTAGGGAAAGATCCTATGCAAATATTTTCCTATGCTAGAAGAAGTATCTGGAATTTTTAGCAGAACGCATACGAAAGTGTTTGTAAAGGATAAAGGATTAAAAATATGAAATAAATTTCAATAGGTATACCATTTATTTTCAGCGAACCGTCAATCCGCGGAGCATTGTGCACCTTAACACAATTCTTCTCATCGTTCGGTATACTGGTTATGTATTTCCTGGGAACTTTCATGCAGTGGCGAAATGCTGCCCTCATGTGTCTCATAGCGCCCGTTGCTTCCATGATCACTGTTGCATTTGTACGTACTTAGTTTATACAATTCAAAATGATATTTTATTTTCTGTATCCCATTTTAGATGTTGAAAAAGTAAACTAAAAATTTAATACTTAAAAGCTTATACTTAAAGATTAAGCCCGCCAAACGGTATCTGAAAAGGATTCGAGGCTGTTATACATACATATAATGAACATATTTGTCCTATTATTTTTATAATGAAACTAGTATTCAAAGCGCTATGAAAATAAATGTATTATATCAATGCAATAAAATGAGTTTTTGTCTCAGTCACCAGAAACTCCAGTATGGCTATTAACAAGGAATCGTGAAAAGGAAGCGCTTAAGTCACTTTGTACGCTGCGAGGATGGACTACTCCAGATAATGTCAAGGAAGAATTCACTGATCTTCTCGACTATAGCAAGAAATTACAGCAATGTGTGATATGTTGCAGTACAAACCAGGACTATAAAAGTTGTCCTCATGAGTCCATGAATTGGTTTATAAGGTAATTTAATTTACACACTACAATTTCAGATTTAATCGATCGTAACCAAAAATATGTAGGTTAACAAAAAAAAATTACATCAGTGCTACAGGAAAATCCAGTCTCTCCGTATTCTTAAACGTATTTTGCAAAATTTATAATATTATAATATTTAATGATTAAAACAAGTTTTTACTAGTTCTTTATTTGAAACGATGTCTTTGGCACGTTTTCATTTATGCTCATAATATAAACATACTTTCAATAATTTTAACTATCTGTAGTTTTATTTGAATCTTTACATAAATAATAATAATGGTATAAAACATTTATTCTCTTTGCAGGCGTGTTCTCAAATTCAGATATGTAATAATGTGTAAAGAAACTGTAAGGCCATTGACACTCGTGGTAATGTACTTCTTATTTTTTGTGATGAGCGGACTTACGCCAATTAGACCGAATCTGGTCAATGTGTGTGGAGCTTTTGGTATGGCCCAGGACAGCAAGCAAGTTGTGGTAATTTATTGATTTAATTAAAATCTCCTTTTTCGATACGAAAGTAATAGAGTTTTGATGTTTTTGATCTACAATTTTGAATTTTACTGAATTTTCAATACACAATTACACTGATGTTATAATTTTAATTATAGATCAAAGGAACTTAAATCTTTATAGCTCAAAAATAAAATACCCGATTCTCAAATATTTTTTAATAAATATTCTGTTTTAGCTGCTCGTCGGAGTGATCACATTTTTGGTTTGTTTCCTTACTATTGGTCTGATAAAAATGTTGGGTAAACGAAAGTTGGTGATATCGTCAATGTTCGGAAGCGCAATTTGTTGTTTACTCTTAAGTATGTACGCGGCGAAGGTCTTGGACGAATCTGTGTCATCTTATCATCCTGAGACATTTCCTAAGACAACAAGTTTGACACCATTGATATTATTTTATTTCATGACGATATTCACTGGTTTGGGGATACCGTGGGTACTGCTTGGAGAGCTGTTTCCATTTAGGTAACACCATTTGTTATTAAACTACAAACTTTAATTATAATCAAATTATGTTCAATTTAATTTGTACTCGTACCTTAAAATCACAACATACAATATTTAAAAACAAATTATGTCTCCAAACTGCAATTAATAAATATTTCAATATACTGTACGATGAAATGACAAACATAAAAAGATACTGGAATTACGCCTCATTTCACCCAACTTCAAAGCCAAGCTCATTCTCCCTTTAATGAACATTCCTTTCATCACTTTTAGTATTTGATTAAGTGGTTTAGTCATATAAGTTTAAAATAAAACAGACATATATAATAATAATATATATTTAATTAATCATCAACAGAAGCCGCGCCACAGCCCAGGGTTTATCAGCTGCTAGTTTCTACGTTTTTTCATTTCTTGGCTCAAAAACCTTCATCAATCTTGAGAACAGTGTGAAATTATGGGGAACTTTTGCTACATATGCAGCTTTCGGTTTTGCCGGTACGATATATTTGTACTTTTTCTTGCCAGAAACGGAAGGCAAGTCATTGCAAGAAATTGAAAACTATTACAATGGACGATTTAGAATATTTGCTGACGATCCCGTTATAAACAAATTAAAAAGACTAGGGAGATAATATAAGACTTTTGTATAATCAAGAATTTTAATATTAAAATATGTAATGTGAAATTTAATGTTTTTCTTTAATTTATCGTTTTATGATGAAAAACTTTTTAATATTTGACAAGAGAATTAATTTTAAATTAAGAAGCGAAGTCTGTTTCTTTTCGGAATACTTCGATGGCAGTATGATATCATGATATGATTTGTCATGAAAATAACTTTGTTACCGTGTGATGTCTTTGTGTCCATGTTAAAGTATATATAGTAACACAAAGGGTATAAAAACTATCAGTCCCATAATTGAATTAGTAAACAAGTATTAAATAAGAGTAATATTAAAAAAGCAAGTTAATTCTCTGTAGTAGAATACTTAACTAGGAAGTATCACTTTGATGGGTCTTCAATTTTGGCTATAAACAAAGGAATAGCAAATTGAGTGTCCCATAGCACGGCTAAGAATGGTCTATTAGCCTGGAACAGCGCAGGGGGATCCTCATATGACAAGGCGATTGCAGCAAAAGTTGAAACTGCTGTTGCTGAAAGACCTTGCTCGTCGACTGACAGGTAACCAGTGTGTATGGCACTAGATATTCTAGGTGAATACGTCCGGTAAGTTCCAATACGCGTAAGATCAGCTTGCGGTGAAAATATTTCGGTGACGCCCATCTATGGTTTAAATATATACACTTTAGAATTTGAAGTATACTTTCGAGATATTACATTTTAGATATATTATATTAAATATTATTTAAGACTCACATATCCTTTGGAAACATGCTTATTTGCGAATGTTCTTAAATTAGTAATATTACTAAACTAAAATAAGTATAAAAATGTTCATATAAAAATGATAAGGATTTCATTTTTTTTGATAATCCGTAAGATTCAACTTCTTCTGCTTTTTCAGACATAATTTATAAAATAAATTATAATCTGCATATTGTAAAACTTCAGTTCATTATTTATGACTATTTAAAAAATATCATTTGTTACCTTTATTCACATTATGCCAAATTATCTTAATAAAATTTGTGAATAACATACAAATAGTAGATTAAATAGTTCAATCTTATTTAATTAAATATTGCTTACCTTTTGCAAAACTGGTATCATATTAGTGTGTGATTTTATGGTAAATTTCGGTATTTCCAATTGGATTTCACTTTCATCAAATTTAAGATAGTTCACCAATTTATTATTTGACAGTGTCCTTAATATATTGTCTACATTAGACTGTTGTTGTGGTAATATAATTATTAGAGAATACTGGTATCTCTGCAAGGAATAATATGCTTATTTTAATAACAAAGACAGTTTTATACATTCCTTATGATTTTATGTTTAATTTGATAATTACTTACTTCGAATGGCATGACAACGATAGCTGAGTTACTATCTTCATCTTTGCCATATCTAAAAGAATGCCGCATGCGCATAAATGGCACTATAACACTTTCGCCACCACTTAAGTGGAACAATAGCTGTTTTGTGGCTTCTGGTTTAAATTTGGTCTCCCAAAGTCCTTTGAAATATACCACATTTGCTATAAGAACTTGGGTGGAGGAACTAACAGCCGCTGAAATTATTCATAGGTTTAGATGATCATTATAATTAAAATCTTATAAAAAATCTTTCTAACGTACTTTCAGGTAGAAGTTCGGCGATTCTGTTATGAGTCTGGATCGAAATCCATTTATTTATTTGCCTAACAGCTGGACCAGGTCTACTGAAATCAACATTTGTTATTTCGCTTCCGAAATATTGGATAGAAGTTTCTTTGAAATCTGGTTCTATTTGAAAGCCTTCTCCAAGGAACAAATTGATGGAAACAGTCAATATGTTTCTTGAATTTCTTTTCTACGAGCAAATAAAAATTGTTAATATTCACTGAATACAAATATATTTTACATAATTCATAACATACCTTCATATCATAAGTAAGTCTTTGATAAGTGGGCGCTGTAGCGTTGGGTGGCATTGAAAGACATCTTGTCATTTGATCTTGAGTCTCTCCCGCAGTTCCTTGTTGTAGAAGAGCTAAAACTGTCGCAATAGACGTTGGTGAAACTATAGCATTTCCTCTTATTAGTTGGTTAACACTCTGTAATAAATATAAATGAAATGAATGAAAAACAAGAGTAATTTCAGAGAGAAGTAGCAATCGATAACAAATATATACCTAATTAAAATAAATGGAAGAGACCATAAAATAAACGAATAACCTTTTTATATGTAGTTTATAATAAAGATATTCCTTTAACTACAATTCACTTAGAACTTACCCTCATTAAGATAATACTAAACTGTGTTAGGGCGTGAGTAATATTGTTCAGTTGTTCAACATCAGTTGTACCGACTCCAACGAATCTTACTGGTTTTGTTATAATCGGAGACTCGTCGTCGTCATATCGTGTTGGTTGAACTTTATTTATATTATCGTTGGCATTATTTACAGTTCCAATTTTGTTTTCATTTGATAGTAAAGAGTTGATATATCTGTCATATGAATCGAGACCATTATTTTGAGCTGGTTCAATGTTAATGTTTGCAGCGAGAGGCAATACTCTTCTATAATTGTATTGTTGCGGCCATTTAACAGTTCTAAACTGTGCTTGAGTGCCAATTATACAAATTAAAATCAAACCTAGAAATAAAATACTTATTTTATTTTATTTTGTGATATGAATAAACATAGAAAAAAATAACTGACTCAAGTTTTTAAACATGAACAAGAAACAAGAAAAGGTCACTGTGAACTAAAAAAAAGTGACATTGTCTCGTATTATTGAGAAAACTTTTTTGATACGTAAAACAGTAACATTAAATTAATACCATAACTATACATTACGTAATTATTATATTTTAGAATATTTTCATACAACTTACAATATGATATCTTCATTGTGAATTACTTTACAATATAGCATTGGCAAGAAGAATTATAATTTTCACAGATTTGGTTTTCGTTATACAATTCAGCGTAAACACAAACATTCGCACAAGCAGAAACTTGATTCGCTACTAGTGACCGTATGCGAGATAATTGTGAATAATAATGCGTTGATTCAACTTACGAATATTGTTATTGAATATAAGACCTTATCTGTTATCAACAGAGCTTAAAATGTCATATGTTTTATACGTCGCTTGTTCCTATAGGTGATTTTTTGTTGAAGATTCATTCTGTTTGTGGTTTTTCCTACTGAGCCGGTTTCCTCAATGCGATACGAGTGATACAAGTGTTAACTTATGTCGCCGAGAAATATTTTAAATAAAACACATAAGTTATTTCAAAATAGACTTGATATGAGGATAAATTGAAAAAAAAATAAACATTTTATATCATTTTATAATTGTTGTAAGAATTAGACGATTTAAAAGATATAATTATTGAATATTTTTTTAAGAGAACAAATTTTACATACTAAATCATTATTTTAGATTATATTTTTGGGTTCTCATATGTAGTATTCATATTGTATATCGTAATCGTAGTTGGGAATTTTGGTATAAAATACCGAGTAAGATAGCCAAAATTAAAACAAGTTGATAAAATATATCTAAATAATTTTACTCACAACTTATAGCAATAACAACACATGTCTATTAATTAATATTTATTGTAATTCACATTTAATGTACCTATCCTAAATTATTCAGTTTGAAATAAATATACAGCTATAAAATGTCACATTTGTATCAGTCTATTTGTTCAAAGTACTATTTACAATTCAAAAACTATTACAAATTATTAAACAATATCATATGGCACTATAAAAAACTCTTTTAAGTATGCTTTCAAAGTATCAAAATTATTTATCCAGGTTTTAAATAACTTTAATATTTTGAAATCTATAATAAAAATTTGAGTACATAAAAAGGAACAAGAGATATTCGTTATTACTTTTGTACAAATTGTTATACAATGAAAAAAATGGGTTATTGTGCAAAATCGATTCTCATTCTGGCGTCTAAAGCTGCAAATTCATTTATAGAAGCAACAATTTTCTGAGCCACATTATTCGGAGGACTACCATATCGCAACAGGAGTGCTTTATATTCGTAACAGGGAGAAGAAATGAGACGAACTGCTCTCCTTTGAATCGAACAGACATGTGATATATTTGAAGTTTTTTTTTCAGCTTCTTTATATCTGCGAAGAAAGGGATTTGTTATCAATTGAAAATTTACACTAGATGTAATTAAATTGTCTGAGATTTGAAGTCATGATCTTACACTGAATTCATTTTAAGTTTCACTATAGACTCTTTCTTCCTCAGCAGTAAGACAGAGTTCCTCACCGCCGCTGCAGCAAGAACTGATGGCCAAATTTCACAAAGATATTTGTCCACCATCATACCAGCCGTGTAAAGAAATGTTGCAGCTTCCTCAATCTCATCAGCTTGTGAAGTGTCACAGTAAAACGATAGATATGATATGAATTCCTGAGGTATTACTGGATGGCGAGGAAATTTCTAAAAATGTTATATAATTAGAAAATTATCAATACAAATTAGAAAAGTTGCGTTTAAATCAATTATTTTAAATTGCATCATGTAGTTTTACCAAAGTTACAAGCACAGCTTTTTCAGCGGCCAATAGTTTCTCACATGAAAAGGCGTGACTTGAGCATTTTACCAACTTTCTAGCATATGTATAAGGGCCGTGGATCTTCTGGGCAATCCAATAACAAGCTGCTGCAAATAGCTGCATTTGATTTATATGAATATGGCCTATAGCCAGTATAGCGTCAAAATACCATTGAGCATACTGGACTGTTGAAGGACTACCATCAGGGCCCTGGAAAATAATGAAAAGAAAAAACCTGAACAGTAGGGGAGTTTCCTAATATTTTTTTTATCAGGGAAAATAAAATACTTACGTGTACTTTAATTATCCAATTGATGATACAAGAGCGAGTGTGGCTATTGATCCTTGGTATATTTGCTTTCTTTTCAGCACTTAACAAATAAGTAAATAAATCAGCAGCATGGTCGCGGTCTAAATGTGTTACATAAACCTTCAAAGCTGTAAAGATAATCAAAGTTGTAAAAATTTTAGTTTTGAAACGCCTCATATTTATTATTAGTTATTACACTAACTTACTACAATCTGGTGTTTGTTGTTTAATTTCAAGGCGCTCGTTAAATTGTAATCGCCTCTTGTGTTTCTCATCCCCTCTCCCCTGTTTTGTTATCGGGGAGATACCTTGTAGTTCACGACTATGTGGTCTTTTGAGACTTTTTTTAATGTTTCTTACCCTATTGGGTTCTAACAACGGCGATTTGGGAATGGGAGTCACTATGCTGCTACTATCTCCAAGAGAATTCTTCTGACGATTATGTAAAAAATAACTAATTTCCTTACATTTCTCTTCATAACTGGTTTCTTCATCGTCACTTATAACTATAATACTATTTTCTTTTACAGTTTCGTCCTTAAAAACACTATAGTTCCAGTCCATTTCTTCAGTTTTTGGTCGAATAGTGACGAATCGTGTATCCAAATTCAGTGGAAACTTTGTTCTATTTCTTACCTTTTCTTTTTCTTTTTCATTTTTGTCTATTTTATCATGTCTTTGACTAGTACCTGCGGTATGTGAATCCTGACGATTGATTGTCTTCAATGGATGTCTTTCTATTTCGTTATTACGTTTCACCAAATTATGTGGTACTGCTGGCAGTGGCGACAACGGTAGTGGGATTTTTGTTTTGTTTTTCAAACCCCTTATATTTTCTTTATCGACTTCCATTATATTTAAAATTATGATACACAAAATACGATCACGACCCGCGTAACCGTTAGCGCTATACGATAAACCATTCATAATAAAAGTACCCACTTATTTTATAATTTCTATTCACCTACTAAGTTCTTATTCAAACATACATAAGCGGGTTTCTCGAATCTTTTTAAAAATGAAATACCAAGTTTGTTTGCCTCTTTTTTCAATTCGTATTTCATAGAAGACATTTAGGCCTAAGAGACTTATATCTTACTAATATTTTTTTTTTATCATGTGATGAAATAAATTATACGTCTAAATTAGAATTTTACTTAAAAAAACAAAAATTATATTACAAATCATCATTATAAGATTTTTAAAATTGTACATTGAATTTACTATTTATGGGTGAAGATTTGCACTAAGTTAGATGTACATATGTTTAGAATAAGTTAAATCCAAAATATTGTAATCTTGGTAGCACTGCTATATTAAGATGTATATTTTTATTAGTTATTTTGACATTCGTATTGGACTTTACAAGACCTAAATCATGTTTTAGTACTTTTAATAGAATCTAAAACAGATAGATAACAATAAAGATTCAAAAATATTACAATACAAAATCATTGAAATGGATGTACAGTAACGTTTTAATTCTTTTTTTTATATTGTTACTTTTTGTCCACAATAATGTATATAGAAACTTATACAGATATACAAAATTTTAAAATATAATCATGTAATTAGCTTTTGTTGTGTAAAGAATCGCTAAATGGAAAAAATTAAATAAAACGAAATGATGGAAATTAAACAACAAGTAATAAAACAAATCTATTATTCAAAGCAAATAATTTAACATTTTATTATTTGCGTAATAAAGTAAGGACAAAACACCTTATTTGTCATTTTCAAGAAAAGAAGGAGAATTATATTAATTTTACAAGTATCTTATAAAAGCTTTTATATTCCGCCGATAAATTGTCCAACTAGTTGGAATAATTTGTTTTCTGTCAGTATGTAAGAGTGAAAATTGCCAAACGTTGATGTCAACTCGTTGCCCAACAAGTAAAGCAACTTGAGCTTGGAAACTGCTATTATAAATAAGCATAATTTATCTGTACTAAGTTGAATCTTAGAAAATTTAGATATTTCACTGATATTATTCTTTTACAATTTACATGGTAATGTTCAAAAAGAATTTTGTCCATAAGCTTGCTTTTTATGTACTCGGTCTATTAGTATTATCTTCGCTTTCAACTGTTCTTCTAAAGGTAGATTTTATTGAAACATGAATTATTCAAGCATCAGTTATCTAAATCAACCTTTTTGTATCTCTCTGTGTTACCAACATTTTTCAATTAACCTTTTCTATTTATTTTTATGTTCTCTCTTTATTATTGGATATCATATATAACTTTTGACAAAGATTAAACATTTCATTGGCAGTTGGTTACCATATAAATTATTTTAAGTACTTATTATATATTTATTAATTCAATCCTAACGTTCGCGATGAAGAAAGCGCAATCAGAAAATAAAAATTCAAGAGAAGTATCCCACATATATGTATGTATATGCCAGTCTTAACCATTGTGACGCAATGATATTTAATAGTAGAAAGTTGAAAGAAAAGTTAAAACGTATATTTTTATTATATAACCTAGTTTAAATTTATCACCTTGATGTTGTGTCATTATAATTAAATTTATTAGAGTGTACAATACAATTGTTTGAAGGGAGGATAATTGCAGTAGGTACGGTATTTGAGCACATTGGCGCTAACGTCACATTAACGCCCTCAGTTCACTGAACTTCCTTACTTAACTTACGAATACTTAACTTGCTATAGCACTCGTCATTTGTGAATAAAATATATGATGGTATGCTAATATATTACATACGCTCTGAACGTGGACTTATATTCCTATCCTTTATATTCCTATTATTTGCAAATTCAGGAAAAATATACTATTTAAATTTGATAAATTGGTACAAACGTTTAAAAATACGAGTAAATTTTTATTGTATTTATTATAATTGATATCAGAGGATTACTTTGAATGTTTTCATTTAACGCTTATACTTATTAAAATTCTTAAATTGTAATAAAATATGTTTTTACTTAGTACGATTCCAGTCTTATTTCGACAAGTAATAAAATATTTAATTTATATATAAAGCGAAAGCAAGAAATTTAATAACAGTCTTCATTTCTCTGAATTAACTGCTGACTGTAGCAAAATTAGCATTTTAATGCAATTTCATTTAGCATATAATCTTTCAGTTCCAGTTAAGAACTTGTTTCAATTTATTGCGATATAAATTATTATTTTCCATTTCATCATAATAATGTTATAACTAAATTAGACTGTCGAGTCATATTGAGGTTTTTGAATATATGTTAAAGAAATGTAAATACAATACAATATAATTAGTTTTGTCATAGAAGAACGTGTATGATAATTATTAAACATTGTCATCCTTATATTTTTTTTATTTAATAAAAGTATTTTAGGTAGTTAATTCTCCATTGTCTCAATTAGTAGTATTTTTTTTTAATTCGATAATATTGATAAAGTACGATATTATTTTTAAGTAAAAATACACTCTATTATGTGGAACTTCCATATAAGTGATTGATAGAAAAAAAAATCACATAAAATTCAATAACTTTATTCAATATACTTATTTCAATACGAATAATAAAATATTAAAGGAGTAACTACTTTAAAAATAAAGAAACTAAAGGGACACCTTTTGTTCAAAGAAAGCTGCGTCCTTTTATAATTTATAACCACCTTGATAACGTGACAGATCTTTTCTATTATAATAAGATTAATTTGATTTTTTCACTATTATTTTGAAATCAAATGTAAAACATACATTTATTACTGCTTACAAATATAAACTAATGAGTACGAATTAAACATAAGAACGAATTGTAAATACTATAGTAATAATTATTATTTCATTGATATTTTGTATTCTGACAGAAAGCTCTCTGATACAAACAAGGGATGAAATTGCATTTACAGCGAGATGCAAATTGTATTTCATTCCAGAGATGTAGTCGGTATTATTCTGTTATTAATAATATATATTTCTATTTTATTTAGATATCGAGTACTCCAGCTTATCAAATAACATGTTTATTTTTATAAATCAGTACCTTTTTAGCGGAATATATTTTAATATTTTTTAATTTTTTACTGTATACAAGCTAAAATTTTATCGACAAGCATTATGTCACGTTAGAAGTGGATGATACAATTTGCAACGCTATAAAGAGCTAAACGTTAAAAGCTAATGGTAGTTTGATGCCTCCCTATTTAGAATCCTGAACATCCGGGTCACAGCTGCTGTACAACGTTATTAAAACGAATAGGAAGTTTCTTGGATCATAATACTAATATTAGAATATATGTTAGCAGAAGTAACATAAATACTTATTTTATTTTAAAGTTTTTATAAGACTTATATAATTTATTTTTTTTTATTTATTTATACCATCAAGCAACAATGACTCATTCACAAAAATAATAATAATAATACATAAAATGTCAACACAAATAACAATACATAAATTCTCAATATAATAATAATAATAATTAATTCATATGTAAATTAGTAAATTAGCTGATCGGTTGAGCCCCACATACGCGAATCACCACTGTACCATCCCGTGAGATATGGCCCCGCAGCGATTCACGTATATACAGTCCAACCGATCAGCAATCAGCATTATTGACATATAAGCATGTCAATAAATAATAGATTTGTCTTAGCTATTCAAACCTGTTCTTTGTGATAGGTCTTTTGTTTTAAATATAATGTATGAAGTTGAATTATATTACATATTGGAGTTCATTAGCTAAGGGTTGTGCGACTTGGTGCTACTATTATAAAACGATGAAAAATTCAGTTTTTTTTCCAAATATCAACATTTGTTAAATCATTACTTTTTAGGTTAGTTTACATGGAAAAGAAATCTTTTACAAAAACATAGCAGTGAGGATAAGTGTTCCATAAAACTGTCTCTTTAGAAAAACCATATCTAGCTGAAGTACTTAAATGTAATTTGTTAACAAAATATGGATAAATGCAAGTTTCATTATAAAGTTATTATTCTTGTATATATAAAATGTATTGCGAAACATATCAAAACTTATTCCCCTAAGACTGGATTAGCTATGTAGACCGTCAGAACGCTTGTTGTTTACAGCGGCTTGAATATTAATTGTTCCGACCTGAATTTACATTGGCATCAGATTTCAATATAAACTCCGTAACTCACTCCATGTTTCTCCTCAGGTTTAATATTAAACATGGTCGTAGTGGTAATAAAATAGAATGACTTACTTTATTTCTCTAATTTGATATATCTTAAGCATCATACATCACATAATTAACAACCTATTCCTGTTAAACAGCTATTACGTACGCGTAACGTGTTAAAGAATATATAAATATCGCCGGGGCAATATCGTTGTATGGATAAGATATCATATTTCGAGTAACGTTACTGACTTACTTATTAAAGAGAAGATTCCTGAGATCACACAAGTAATGGAATGTTATTGCTATCCTAACATCGGGGCAATCATGTAATCTTAGGTGTATGTTAAAAGTTTTAATATGTAATTCTTATTATAATATAAAAGTAAATTTCTTATTTTTCCTGGGATCTCTGTTTCCCACCTTATATAATTATGAGTGAGTAATACGATATTTGGTTATTTATGATATACTAGTACACATTTTTAATAAATTTCTATTACTTTTTTATTTTTATTATATCATTACTTTAACATAACTAGAAATAACTATAACTAGTACTATATTTTTACACAAAGGGTATGATATATGTACATATACGTCACAATGTCTTTGTTCTGTCTTCTATTCATCAAAACTGTGGTATAAATAATTATAGAAAAAAGGCAAATCATTAAGTTTGTTAACAAATATTATATTTTGCTTTATTTTTGTGACTCGATAAATAATTGATTTTAAGGTCTTAATAA